TACTAAATCTTATTAAATAGAAATAAATCCTTCTATCAGTGGGACAATTAATTCACTGAAAAAAACTTATTGATTAAGAAAAAATATTGCTGATCTAAAAATGAAATTATTTTTAAAATAACGTCATATGTTTTTTAATTAAAAAATTAATCTTGAAAGTCGCTTGGCTCTATCTCAAAAATATCTAATTAATTGGTACTATTTTTTATAAGTTAGTCGTTGGTTTCGCCGCTAAGTGGCTACGCTCTCTCGCTACCAGAAAAATCTTACCAGAGTATATATGAAGATCAAACTTTTTTCTATCTCCCGCAATTCCGAATTTAATTCTTTCGCATAGATCCCGATGTAAATAATTTGTATAGAATAGCTGCTTGGAATAGGTAAATAATTAAAAATAAAATTATGACTAAATAATAAGAGATACATAAAAATTTATGAAGACCTATCTTGTAGAGAGTTTAATTTTCTACAAGAAAAATTCTTTATAATTTATTTGTATCATTAATATTTAACCCAGAATTTTGAATTCAATCTTATCATAGATTCGGTTGAAATAATCTGTACACTGAATAAAAAATTAACTTGATTCGAGAGAAAAATTCTTGAACCAAGAAAATAATTTTGAAGAGGGTAATTTTGTTAAATCAAGTAAAATTTTTTTAAATCAAGAAAAATTTATTAGTTCAAGAATTTTTCTACTCAAATCAAGAACTCAATAGAGTTCTTCAAAATTATATACTTGATTCAAGAACATTTTTTTTCTGTGGTAGCTAAACAGAAAAATCATTTGAAAAGAATTGAATTTTAAATTTTGAGCAAACTTTCAAAAATACAATAGAATCGACAAGGACTTTGTTGATGGAAGATTAAATTTTCTACAAAAAAGGTTTCTTATAAACTTTTCTTATCTCCTAAATTTTTGTTAAAATATTAATTCCAACTTTTGTTAAAAAAATTGTTGGGCTAAATAAACGTAATCTTATTTGAAAATAATATTTTTGGTCAGTTGAATTCGTAAAATTTCTGAATAAAGAACTTATTCTCTTGAAATAATTTTTTTTTAGATCCATGTTCCAGTTCCTGACACAAGTGTCCCAATTATTGTACCAACTAAAAATTTGCCAAATCCTTTAGTATTTTTTTCTATGTTCCCTCTGAAATAATTTCCTCGGATCTTAAAGAGCATTTCTCTTGAGTCAAGAAATATTTCTCACTGAAGTGATTTGAATGAATTCCTCGCCAAGAACGTCGCTCAGGCTCAAGATAAAGCCACAAGATAAAGCTTGCCTAAAAAAAGAACAATCGAAATGAATAATGAATGTCTGTTATGGGAAAACTATCGTAGAAAACAATAATAAAATAAAGTACTCACCAGAAAATATGTAAAGGGAGTAGAGCAAGATGTCCATTTAAGGCACGTACATTTTGTTCTGTCACCGTGTCCGTGTTTTCTTTTGAGCACGGACCACCTACGCGATATGTGCACGTACTCGTCTCTCTTAGCGACATCGTCTTAACTTATAAAGCAGCTCTTCAACATCTTGTTATACTGCTCTCACCTTTTTTTAATTATTCATCGAGGAACAAACCAAAGACATAAGACATAAAACGTGTAATATAAAACGTAAACCGTGAAATAGTCCCTCTATCTATCCAGTAACTCAAAACTTCACTGAATTATATAAACAAATTTTTAACTCCCACGGTAGCTTATTTATAACATAAAGTAACGACAAACCTTCTATACTCGGTTCTTCGAATAAGTACGGACCACTCTTCCTTCATTTTTCCTCTTTTTTTGGTAGAACTAGATACAAACCAGGATCAACACAGTGGTTTGTTATTTTTTAAAAATACCCTGAGTGGGCACTTAACTGATACGCTTAGAAGAGATCTCACTCTCCACTCGTTTCTTCACTGATAAAAAAAAAAAACATTATCATTATTATTATTATAATATTATAGTTAAGTACAGTTTAATTTTTTATTTTTATCCAATGAGATCATGTAAACTGTTTTTTACTTAATTATATAATGCAATCAATAAGAGTAATTACTTGAGAATAAATTAGATTCGATCGTAAACATAAGATTATATTATGTACGTCGTTGCATAAATGATCTTGCAGCCTTTCGCTGTTTCCGTAGTGAAGAATATTTAAATTTTTGCTATTTATACTTAATTGTTTTAACCTGTTCAATTAAAATGAAGGTTATTTTACTTTCTAGAGATTTTTTTATTTAATACATAAATGTGACAGATGTGTAGTGAATAGTTTCTATTGTGTAGGCGTTAATAGAGAAATTTATTTTGATAGCAATAATTTTTTAGTAATCTTCTTAGGATAAAATTATTTAATGAAAAAATAGAAGTAATTTTGAAAAAGGACAAGAAATTGTTTTTTCGTCACACTTCTCGACTTGAATGAAACACTTTTAAATTTTTAAAAATGATTTTCAAGGTATAAAATTCAGTAAAATTGTATTTAGAATTTTTTTTAAGTTTATTGACAATTGAATTATAAAAAAAGAAAAATGAAAAATTTCAATTTTTTGATCGAAAATAAATTAAAAAAAATCTGAAAAACAGTTGACCCTGCAAGCTATCTTTGAAACTTCCCGCTATGTATGAGTTCGGAACGCTTAAAAAATTACCTATTTTGAAATTTTGAGCTCTTCAAGCTCAAAAACACAACTTTCATACTTTTCCGAGCTCGAAAATCTAGTGGTTATTGAAAACAAATTTTTTTTTTAAGTTTTAATTGCAATATCTTCCGATCGAATCAATCGTTTTTGATGACACTTGCGGCATGTGACGCAATTTTTCAAGCACAAAAAGATTATTTGTTGACTAACAAACGATTTGATGTAAAATTATGAAGTTATATAAAAAAAAAAAACACTTTTTTGGAATTTAAAAAAATTAAATATCTTCTGAACGAATTGACTGATTTTGACGAGAGATTAGCAGCGTCCGATGCAGTTATTTGAGTACTAATAGTTATTTCATAACATCAAAATGGTCCAAACAGAAATTTCGAAGTAATTTGTCAAAAACATTTTTTTCGAAATTTTTCACCGATATCTCATGAACGAATGAATTGATTTTGAATTTTCAAGCGGCATTCAACGTCATTTATTTAGGTTAATTAAGCGCTGATTAAGTAATGAAATTAATCGATACAGCAGCTCAAAAGTTATTTCGAAAAAATATGATTTTACCAATTGTTTTACCAAAACGTGACGATCTGATGAGAACTCGATTTTCGAGAACTGGGGTGAACCCAATAACTTCCCGATTTTTTAAAATCATTGATTTTCTTAGCGGGAAGTTAAAAAATTAATATTTCTGAAAAGTTCCTTCAAAATTTTTTTATTTTTTACAAAAAGTACGGAAAAAAAATAGTAGACATTTTCTTAATAATTTTTTATGCAGACAAAATAGTTAACATTAAAACTAATTTAAAAATTTATTTTATATGGAATGAAATTTAAAAAAATTTTTATTTTATTTGATTAAAAAATGATATTTTGAACTTTGTTTTATTAGAATTATTCAATTTTCGATAACCCTTAAAAAAATTAAATTCAATAATTTTACTGAATATTAAACCAAAAAAAAATCATTTTTAAAAATCTATCGACCACATTTAAAATTCAATAAAAAATATCTAGAATGAATAAAAACTGTTAAAATAATTTACCATGCAATGATTGAAAGTATTATAAACTACTGAATAATTACCTGGGGTGGTGCTTATAATACCACTATAGAAATTCTATAGTATCAACTCAAAATAGACTGATTCAAAAAATTATTATAGATGAAAATTGTAATGTTCTAAATATACAAAAAACTTTCATTGTGAACTCACTCATCTTCTATTTCAATGATTGCAGGCAGAAACTTTCAAATACTTTTTTCAATACTAGAAATAAGTCGATTTCACTTCCTAAAATTAATAAAAACATCACTAGTCAAAGTGCAAAATACACGGCCTTTAAATATTTTAATTAATTACTAAATGAATTGAAATTTTTTTGCCGGAACAACCAAACTACTGAAAATAAGTCTAATTCGATGGATAAATCAATGTGACTTACGATTTTCTCTAAACTACTATTATAAATTAATTAATTATGTAAGCTAGCTTTCTTGATTTTTAATTTAATTTATACCAGCCCTATGAACAGATGTTCTGCATCTCTATAGGACAGATATGTTATTTATTATACTATATACTGATTATCTGTAATATTTTCTGGTTTAATAAATAATAAATAATAACCTTCATTTTAATTTGACAGATTGAAACAATAAATTATAAATATAAAAAATTGTAATATTATTTCCTAACAAAAACAGAGAAATTCTACAAAATACTTTATGCAATAAAAATGATTAATTTTACTTTTTCCTACCAAAAAAACAGATGACCCTGAAAATAAAAAATTACCCAAAAAAAAATTTTTTATCAATTATCACCTAATGAAGAAACAATATACTCAATATCTAAAAAAAATTCCCACCTAAAAAAGTCATTAAACTCTCAATACAATACGGCGTATTATAAATAATCATTATCACTAAAACTCTTATCCAGTTGGATTTCCTGGGTAGTGTAAATTGCATATTAGATATATCACTCTACGCACTTACTTTCTACTCACTCACACACTTGAAATACTTATATATCACTTTCTGTCTGCATGTATTAACCATACATACCATAATATACATACATACTTAATAATTTAATTCCATGAATCAGCCGTGCTTTATTCTGAACCGCTCTCAGAACCTAACCGGCGTCGAATGAATCGCAAATCACTTCTTCTTCACATCACATCACATAAATTATTACTCAACCGATTATGTCAACCCGACAAAAAAAAACATATTAAATTTTTTAACAGTAAATTCCATTGATAAATAACCCGGCACTTGATTAAATAAATTTATCTTAATTAATAGACTTGTCTTTAATTTTTGATTGCAGGACGGCGAGCGGATCTTTATCGGCGCTCCTGGAAGCTGGTACTGGCAAGGTGATTATAATTCTAATTGGAATCTCTTTAAATAGTTAAAATAATTAATTAATTAATATAAATCATCAATTAGTGATAAAGTGATAAGTTAATCCAGGATTAAAATTGTAAATAATTAGAATACATTTGTTTAAAAAAAAAAACACTTACAGGTCAGCTGTACTCGGTGATGAGAAGAATGGATAATTTTCCCTTTGTCCCGCCAGGAAATTCTTCATTCGGTGTCTTTCCAGGTACACCAATTAAACGCCGCCCTAAAACATATTCGACCCTTTTTATTAATTCATTAATTTATTTACAACCCACAGATGCATTAATTAACAAAGTTTTATAGTTTTTAAAACATGCCTAGGGAGGGTGAGGTTCAAAAATTAATAAAAGTTTTTTTTTAATTAATTAATCAATTATTCAATAAGTAGATTAATTCTTAATTCATTCATTTATTTATTGAATAATTAATTAATTAATTTGTAAATTAATTGGGAATTCTACGGTCCTTACAGCGCCACGATTTAAAAGCAGATTTGTATAGATCTCCACGAAATAAAACGGAAAGTACTGTCAAAACAGATAACTTGATTCTTGCAAAAAAAAAATTTTTAATCAAGAATATCATTTTTAAGGAAAAAATCATCTTAAGAGGAAAAATTCTTGTACCAAAAAAATTTACTTAAACCAACAATACTTTCCTAGCTTGAGAAAGCCATTTTCTTCGAAATTTTTTTTCTTGAATGAAATAAACTTTTCTATCTGTGTAAGAATAAAATTTTCGAAATATCGATACTCGAATATTAAAAAAAAAAAATGAAAATTTAATTTTTAAATATTTCTATTTGAATGTTTAAAAAAAAACAAAGACAGTCAGGAAACTTTTACTATCAAAAATTCAAAAAATAACGGAATCTAGGCGGAGCTTCGTGGTGCCATAAGTTCCGTAGTCTTACCACTTAATTAATTAAATTATAACAAATAATTAAAAATTAATAAATAAATTTATCTTACCCTCCAGAATTAAAAATTAGTCCCTCACTTGCTTGGCAGTGCTTAGAAATTGTTAAATTAATAACGAGCAAGGCTTTGACTTTTACGTTAATTTTTTGTTGACTAATTTAGAAATTTAATAGTTGTGTGATCTTTGGTTGGTGTTCCCTTTTTTAATTGTTAAATGGTTTTTTTATAATTGTAATTTAATTCGGGTTATTAATACCAAAAGGGTGTATAGAAAATTTTTTTTACTCCAATCAGCCAATGAATATTGAGAGTCTGTAAATTTACTGGAAAAATAAGAAATGAAATTTTTTTGAGATGCACCTTTTTGACTTTTATATACTCCATTTTGACTTTGACATTTTTTTTTCTAAAAATCTTAAAATCAAAAGGGCGTACATCGAAAAAACTTTTTATTTTTTTCACAGAATTATATATTATGCACATTTTCAAGTTGATTAAAAAAAAATTATTTTAATATGACTTTTTGGCGTTAGTAGCGCGAATTATTTTAATTTAATATAATATTTAGTATAAATTTTAATCACTGCCAGGTAGGTCCGAAAGGGCGATAACAGGTGTGGGCAGAGCTTTTATTACAGCTTCCTGGCAGTTGGCGTGGCAGTACCTATTAATAAAAATAATAATAATAATAATAATAATTTAATTATTAATAATTAATTAATATTTTTAATAAAACTATTAAAAAATAGGAAAACGCCGGCTAATGCTTATTAGGTCGGTGATATTTTATTAATAAAAGGTTTTATGGTTATGATACTGAAAAAAAAAAAAAAAAAACAGATCTGACAATTTTTGGAATTTTTTTTGTAAGCCAAAAGTTAGCCGCCATCCACCATTATTTCAAAGTAAGGCAGGAACTTCGCAATCAAAAGTGAATTAATATACCCTGTAATTTTTTAATAAATTGAAATTATCAAATTTCAAATAAATTTTAGTTGTTTTTAGGTAAATTTTTTTATAAATCATGTTGGAATTTACATAAAATTTTGCTATATGTTTTATTTTGTTGAGTTATACCAAAAAATAGTATCAGGTCAAAAGTTTATGTATATGATAGAACCTGATAGAACCGACCTTTTGTCAACATGATTGCGACTGCAATTCTTGACGGATCTCGATGAAACTCAATACATCCATTCTATGAACGAAAATCTTGGTCGAGTTCTCAAATGGGCCAAATCAGTCTATTAGTTCCAAAGTTATGGGTGTTTGAAAAATTTTATCATTTTTATGAAAATTAAAATTTTACGATATTTTCCGAAATAACTTCAAAACCATAATTTATAACTAAATTTTGGCAGTTGAATTTTGTAGTTCATGTAACTAGCTTCAATTTACCTTATTGTACTTAATTTTTTAATCACTTTTTCTATTTTTTTCTACAGCTTCTAGAATCAAAATTCCGTAAAGTGAATGTTGTAGCTCATTAAATAAGTTACAATTTTCATTATTAAATATATAATTTCCCTAAAATTTACAAACTTTACAAACGTTCTAAAAGTTGATATCAAATATTTTAACTATTACTATGTGCTTAAATTGAGAAATCTACCTGTCCATATCGGGTCTAGCCGAATGGTACTTTTTAATTCCAGAGAATTATGAATTGCCATTATTGGTATGATGTAAGTACTTATTAAAAACAATGGTGGGTGACGGCTAACTTTTGGCTCACATTTTTGCAACAAAATTTGTACAAAAAAATTTTTTAAATTCACATGTAAAAGTGAAATTTTTTAAAAATATTTTTGTACTACTTTATTTAAAAATTAAAACTAAAAATTGGATAGGCGTCTGCGGATTTCAGTTTCATTAGTGGTGACGATTTTTATTATTTCGAGGATATCTCAGTGATAATGGACTGTGATTTTCAGGACAAACTTTTACACAAATGCTGAACAACCGGGGAAAAGTTATGTCCACGAAAGAAGGCTCTCCGGAAGAAGACGACAGTTATCTTGGGTACTCGGTTACTGCGGGTGATTTTATTGGCAACGGTGATAGTGGAACTGCTGTCGGTATGCCAAGAGGGTTTGGATTACATGGAAAAGTAATTATTCTTTGTTCATTTTTTTTTTTTATTCTATGCTATCTTACGTTCCAAATGCCAAAAGGGCGTATGTCAGCGCTAAGATAGAATTTTGTGCCAAATTCAATTCAAAATCGTTAAAAACGTCAAGATCAATATAAAAAATTTTTTTGAATTATTTTTAATAAATTTAAAGAATCAATAAATTACTAATGGATAATAAATAATAAATTTAATAGTTTGAATTGTATTAGTTTCTCTTGAGTGAATTTAGCAACATGGAATTCAACTTAAAATTGTGTACTCAACCTTAAATTTTATGATAATTTAGATTTAGATATAAAATTTTATAACTATTTTTATCTACAGGTGATCCTTTTAACATCGAATATGACAAATCTACAAAATATCACCGGGGAACAAATGGGTGGCTACTTTGGGTACGCATTAGCGAGCGGTGACATAGATGGTGACGGATTCGATGATTTAATCGTCGGGGCTCCGATGTATACGATTCCTGAAAACCCGGAGATGAATTACGAAACCGGGCGGATTTATATATTTTATGGAAAGGGTCCAGATAAATATCGTCAATATGTTACCAAGTAAGTCGAATTTTTTTTAGCAAAAACAAATTATATACTAATAAAAATATTTTTTTATCTTCAATAAGATTTATTGACTGTTGATGAATTATTTTTAATATATTAGATGGTTTAATAAAAATTTATTAACAGTTTTTAAGTATTTGTTAATACTTTGTTAAAACATTTTTATTAAATTTTAATAAATGTTCTTTTCTTTAAAAAATTTATTTATTAATAAGAAAAAAAATAATTAGTTATATTTAATAAGTGAACAAATTGTTTCCAAATAAATACATTTATTAACAGTTAATAAATATTTCTATCTGTGCAACTTAATAAAAATATAAATAAAATTTTTTTTCACTAATTTAAAATAAAGAAATTAAGGAAATTGTCAAATAAAAATAAATATTAAAATTAAAATTAACAGAGACGGCGAAAGTAACAGAGGAAGATTTGGTCTATCGTTAGCTTCTTTGGGAGATTTAGACCGCGACGGGTACGGAGATTTTGCGGTCGGTGCTCCGTATGCAGGTCCAGAAGGTCGGGGCTCAGTTTACATTTATTACGGGTCACGAGACGGCGTCCAAGAAAGCTATTCCCAGGTGATCCATGCCCAAGATCTGAGCAACCGTGTGGAGACGTTCGGGTTTTCTCTAGCTGGCGGCCTTGACCTTGACGGGAACCTGTACCCCGACATGGTGGTGGGCTCCTACGACTCTAGCACAGCGATGTTCTTCCGCTCGCGGCCCGTGATCAAGATGGTGCCTCAAGACACCTTCGTCGAGTTTGGGTCCTCATCTAAGCTGATATCGCTCAACGATAAGAACTGCACATTGTCCGACACGACACCTGTTACCTGCCTGCCTCTCAAGGCCTGCTTTAAGTATACCGGGGAAGGCGTTTTGTCCAGCTATGACTTTAATGTTCAGTATGTTCTGGATGTCAAGAAGAGCAAGAGCCCGAGACTTTTCTTCTTGGAGCACGAAGGCAAACATACTTTGAATCATACCATCACTGTTGATCGTAATCAGCAGTTTTGTCGCACTGTCAAGGTTAGTTTTCATTTTATTTTAATTAAGAGATTATATGCACTCAGAAGGTCGAAAAAATATATTTTTAATCCTTTTTTTTTTTTATCAAGGTATTTAAGGGAGTTTCACAGATCCCACAAATGTCAAACGTTCCATACAAAGCCTTATTTGATTCATATAGTTGTTAATATAACTATTTCTATTTTTTTTTATTTTTTTATTACGACATTGTGCGAAATGTCATGTGCATTTCGTTAATGAAGAACGTTTTTTTAATGTATAGAATAGTAGATAAAATTTTTTACACTCGTGTGTCAGCGCACACTCTCTGCTCGTTACACCAATACACCCGTAGCCAAAAGTCCCCTCTATTAAATTTCATAATTGAATGTACTGTCAACAGGGGGTATTGCACTTTTTAATAAGCTTCTGTGTATAAATTTGCACCGCGAGATCTAAAAAAATGAAACAAATAAATTCAAAATTTATTTACAACATACACGGAAAAAACAAGATGACACTGGATATCATCCCAGATTATACTGAGTGAAAAAAAATTTTAGATAGTAGTTAGTATAATTCAGATTACAATGAGTATAATCCAGATATCACGCAGTATAAACTGGATTTTTTTTAGCAGCTATTTGAAATTTTTTTTCATCACAGATATCACTGAGTATAATCTGGGATGATATCCGGTGTCATCTTGTTCTTTCCGTGTATGAAGAATTATCTTTTTTTTTTTTTTTTTCCTGAAAAACAGATTAAAATTTGAGAGTTTATTTTGAAATCGGATTTTTTTTTACCGAAAAATACAATTTTCGAATAGTTTTTCATCTAGAAGCAAAAAAAATTTTTTACTTTGTAAAAAAACTCTGCACGGAAAAAAGTAAACTAATAAATAATAGTTGATTTATAATAAGTAATGATCATCTGTTAAAAATTAACATTTCAAACAGTAAAATCGTGTCTTTTTTTTTTTTTTTTTTTTTTTTTTTTTCCTGAAAAACAGATTAAAATTTGAGAGTTTATTTTGAAATCGGATTTTTTTTTACCGAAAAATACAATTTTCGAATAGTTTTTCATCTAGAAGCAAAAAAAATTTTTTACTTTGTAAAAAAACTCTGCACGGAAAAAAGTAAACTAATAAATAATAGTTGATTTATAATAAGTAATGATCATCTGTTAAAAATTAACATTTCAAACAGTAAAATCGTGATTTTACTATTCACTTTATAATATTTATCATTTAAACGCTACAATTTATCCTTGAAATGGAAGAAAATACTATTTCAAACAGTAATATTCGCTATGTGAATGTTGAAAATGTTAAAGTATAATAATTAAGAATTTTGACTTTGTATTTTATCATTTCAGTACCTAAAAATGATCGTATAATATGTAAAAAGTATTAAATAAAGTTACTAAATTTCTAATACTAGCAACGTCAACATTTACAAAGTAAAATGGTAAAACTTAAACGCAACGCTAAAAATGAAACTATAATTATTAATCTGCTTGGACTGGTAAAATGTATATTTTAAAAGTAGAATTTTTACTGTTTCAAATGTTAAATTCTCC